AGACTTCCTGTTGCTCTGAGCCTCTGCACCTCCTCACAAGCATTTCATGGGCACAGGTCAAGTCTTTCCAAAGGTCAAACAGATTAAACAATTATTTGAACAGTTTTGCAAATACATAACATAGCACTATATCATTTTATCAAGAATTTCTTTCTACAGTTCAAAGCTTATGAAAAAAGTAGCAGCTTATAGTCCGGATTTTACGGTATAAACTGAGTTGCTTCTACAAAGAAGTACTAGAACATACAGTACATACACCTCATTTTTTGAACTTTAGGTCACGCTAAAATGATAATTCACTGAATAATTCAGCAAATAAGGAAAAGAAAGTCATAATTGCTTTAAATTAATAGCACAGTGGTTAGGGGTGTTGGCTCATAGAAAGAAGTTTCTGGGTTTGAACCTTGGCCAACCCGATCTCTTTCTGTGTGGAGTTTTGTTAGACCCAGTTCTTTAGTTGAAAGTGCAAGAAGAGAAGACAGGAGAAAACTGTATAAAATCAACAGAAAATGTACTCAAATCTGGGCACATGTAAGGCAAAGCAGCACTGGGCTCCAATCAACAGAACTTCCACAGGAACTCTGTCCCAAAAAGCCCCGAGCTATTATCTGTGGTCACATTTATCTTCTTGGGTGGAGGCTGCCCCATACAGAGGTTGGGCTTTACATGCATCCTAATACTATTGGCCCTTGGCCAGCTTAAAAGTTCTAGCAGACACTTCCTACTCAGTAGTTCTTGACAATCATCAATACAGCTGTAATATATATAAGCAAGGAAAATAAAGGTATAAAAAAAATAACTAAAGCTTATAAAATTCAAATATTATAGTTTGCATTGTTAGAAAAAAACAATTCTTTTGTTGCAAGCGCAAGAAGTGAAGACAGGAGAGGACTATAAAATCAACAAAGTTTATTCAAAGTCTGGGCACAGGTGAGGTCATACAGCACTGGGATCAGAGAGACAGAGCTCACGCAGGAAATCCATTCTCTGAACCACGAGTTATGTTTCTTCATTACATTTATCTTCTTGGGCTGAGTCTGCCCTATACGGAGGTACAACGTTTCACGCTTCGTAATCCTATTGGCCATTTGCTTGCTAAAATGTGATCTAAACCAGGTGTGTGTGTGATTTTCAGGCAGCAGCTAGTCAATGAATGCTGAACAATGGATTGTCTGTGCTGCAGACCCCCTATCTGTGTAGACTATTACAAGGCAAAGCAGGACCTAGTGAGTATGCTAAATGGGCCAGGGGGTCATCTCAGGTTGTAGGCCCCCTGTCTCTGCAAGATACTGTACTACCTGACAAAGCAGAACTTGGAATAAGCTAAGCGGACCTAGGTGAAGATGCAAAACAGGCCAACAGGTCTTTGTTAAAATGTAAAATAGGCTATCTGGTTACTTGAAGGTACAGACACCCTGTCTCCACAAAATTTGCAGCATATAGTTCCAAAGTTTCACTCAGTAGAATATGGCAGTCATCAATACAGTTTTAATATATATAAGCAAGGAAAAATAAAGATATAAAAAGTAAATAAAGAAAAAGAAAGTTCTGAAAAGTAACTAAATCTTATAAAGTAACTAGAGCCTATAAGATTCAAATCTTACAGCATGTTCTCCTTCTGCCTGTGTTAGGTAATTTCTTAGTTAGATAGATATGGATTAGAGATCTGTTGTATTAGAAGATGTTTAGTGTAGCCAGGATGTCTCCTCAGGATGTTAAATGCAAGGTTAGTTAAAAAGCAGAGAAAGGCTCAAGTCAGGGACAAATGTTATTATGACGGTAAAAGTAACCATAATATTTGTCTTAATGTGTAATGTTATGTCAAATTGTTTTAGATACACACCACGAAAACAACAGTCACGCACCTTGACTTTTCCTCATGTTTTGGCTAAACGTTATAGCAGCTGCAAGGCTTGCTTATCGGGTGACGTCACGGTTCGACAGCCCAGAAAGGATTAATATTGTATAGCAATGCTTGGTTCGGGGTCTTCCTGTTTCCGGGCTGCTTTTGGCAGGCTGGGGGTTGGAAGATCTCTGGACTTGAAGTGTGAATTCTTGCCTGTGACTTTTTGAATAAACCAGCACGGATATATTTTTTATATACTCAAGTGGTCTGAGTTGTCCCTCTGAGTTCCTGGTTTGAAAGAACCGGATGAGGCTTTATAATGGTTTTCAGCCTTTACCTGTGTGGGGGTTTTAAAGTGCTGTCCCAGCACTAGCATCTTTGCTAACAAAAGCAAAAATGTGCTTCTACCGAAGATGGTACTTCAAACTTATCATGCTTTGGTGGAGGACAGTTCATCACTGCAATGTGAGCACACAAGTTTGGTTTTATCCTAATTTTCATCTAGAAGCTTTTATTGTGAAACTTACTGTTCAGTACACAGGGGGTGTCTCCTCCACTGTATTATCCACATCTGACGTGTCCTTATCACACACAGCCAGGTATCCAGCCACACTATGAATACAGGAAAAAGTTGGGGTCAAACTTGTTCATATGATTAATTTGCATAAAAAAGAGTAACATGTTAAAATTTTGTGATTAATTGTATGCATTAACACACTAAACTTGCACCCCTAGTTTATACATACACCAGTATGGTAAATAGACTGCACTTATATGCCTTACCTGGACAAAGCACTTTATAAATCCACCCAGTTGCACACACAACTGAAAGTTGAAAAGAACCCATTGTAAGACAGTGTTACAAGATGGTGGATATTCTGGACATGGACAAAACCAGGTTTTGAGGAGGAAGATTTCTTTTATGATGATAGAATAATTGTTAGGCCCAAACATAATATTAGAAATATTTCAATTTACACTTGCAAGTGCAGTAGTTTATCCCAGTTTGTCTTAATAATAGTGATAATCAACCCCCAAGACGTTTTTTTGAGAAAGGTGGATTGAAAAATATTCAATAAGCCACTTGACTGAGTACAACAGCAGAACAGAGCCGGGTCATACATGACGTCCGGAATGAAACTCTTTATCACACACCTGCATTTAAGGAGAGAGAGTCTTCTTTAAAGTCAGCTCAGCTGAACAGAACACTCAGGCAAATAGACATACACTTACAATGAACTTTTTCAATACATTGCATCTTGTTCTCTAAATACTGTTTTTTAGTTTGACAACTTTGTTTAGGAGAACTGTTACAAAATGAGCAATACATCTAGTATAGTAGTATTTTCACTGTCTGGCTTCAATGCAACAGTCAACTACAGAGTCACACTTTTCTCTCTCACTGTATTAACTTACTGTGTCATTATGGTCTTAAATGTGTCTCTCATTTTACCGGTAACCATTATCCTGGATAAGAGCCTCCAAGAACCTATGTACATCTGTTTGTGAAACCTGTTTATTAATGAACTATATGGGACTGCAGGTTTTTGATCAAATTTGCTTTTGATCTTCTGTCTGATGTTCATGTAATATCATACGTTGGATGCCTTTTGCAAATCTATGCCATTTACTCTTACTCAATGGCTCACTATGTGATTTTGGCTTTAATGGGTTATGACAGATATGTGGCCATATGTTGACCACTGGATTATCACATGGCCATACAGTTTCTCCTGATCCCACCTATATTCAACCCTATTATTTATGGGCTGATTCTGACTAAAATTCGAGGTAGAATGAAATCTTTGTGCATGATGACATCCAAAAACTTGAGACTGTAATTGGCAGAATAAATCACTGTAATTGTCTTCTTGTACCTCCCCTGTCAAGCTGTCATAAAGTTAATGACATGAAGCATGTCCGTGCAGATTCTCAGTCATCCAGGTCATAGTAAGCTGAAAAAACTTATTTACTGGACTTGGTTTTTAGGTGTTTTGTCCTGAATGGTCCACCCGAAGGACAAAACACCCAGAGATAAACAGAGTGATAGTCAGGAGTGTAACGACTTGCACACTGGTGAAATTAAGCAGCCGCTGCACAAACGCATGGCACAACACAGGAGGGCCAACTCCAGTGGACCAGAAACAGCAGTCCACCTCCACCTGAAGGCCAAAGGACATTCTTTTGAGGACAGTGAAATCCAGATCCTGTCCAGAGAACATTGCTGGTTTGAGAGAGGAGTCAAGGAAGCTATTTTTGTCCAAATTGAACACCCCTGAATAAATAGGGGTGGTGGACTAAGACACAACTTGTCATCCATCTACAATCCTGTTTTGAGATTTCTGCCCACCAGGACAACAGGCGTCGGTCGACAGGTGAGGGTTCAAAGACAGGTAACGATGCTCACTGATACTGGTCTATAAAGACTCAGTCATTAGGGGACAATGTTGGGCATCAAAGGACTGAAACACCACTGATGGGGATAAATATCTCTGACTCAATGCCAGTCGGGTAGAACTGATGAAGCCTCTTGGATGAGAGGTGAAACGTCTTCAACCTAAAAACCTAGTTTAGTTGATTTTTTTCTAAATTTTTTCAGCTTAATGACCTGAAAGACAGAAATAATGGGTTTTCACAATGAAATAGTCTCCATCAGTAAAATTCCATTTGATTTGATTTAGCCTTTCCCAAGCAGTTGAAAGGGGACCCCATCAGAAAAAATACCTTTGTGCCAGTCTTCTGCTGTCCAGTTCTTGTACTTCATCCAAAATTTCAGTCAGTCCTTAATGTTTTTCTTGGGGAGAAGTGGCTCATTTGCTGCCCCTCTGCACTTCAATCCACTGTCCAAAAGTCACTGTGCATGTAGAAGCACTCACACCTGCCTGCTACCAATCTTGAACGAGCTCTGCACTGGTGGCAGCACAATTCCTTAGCTGATTCCTCCAAAGCAGACAGTCTTGGCACATGCTGGACAGTTTGGGGTGTCCTGAGGCTTTCTTCACCATAGCTGAACCTCTCTCTTTTCAAGTCAAGTTTTTATTATCATATGCAAAGTGAGGGAATGTTTTTCCCTGTACAATGGAATTCGTACTTTGCTGTCCGCACGAGTGCCATGAAATACAAAGTAGATAATTTGGACAACATTTCATTTTGTCAAATAATTTGGTTTATAACAAAATCTCTGCAAAACTACAGCTACATAAACCTGTTGATTGTGTTTCACTAAAATTTCTAAGCTCATCTATCCTTTGCACTACAAAATAAAAGCTGAAAAGATCACATTATAGGACACTAAGTGAATAATCTGAACATCGATGAAATCAGGTTTTGAGGAGTTTTTCTATGATGAAAAATTAATACCAACTTAAACCTCAACAACAAACACTTTTTTGACAAAGGGGAGATTAATTAAATATTCATTTAGACTAAGTTACAGAAGCAGAACAGAGGCTACTCCAAACATGACATCTGGAATTTAACTATCACACACCTGCATTTAAGAAGAGACTGTTCTCTAACATCTAAACTCAAAACTCAGCGGTGTGTAACATTCAGGGAAATGAACACACTGACAAACAATGAACATTTTAACTTTTAAAGCATTGCATCCTGTTCTCTAAACATTATCAGTCAGAATGTTTTGTTTTGGAGAATTATTTTAAAATGACTAATACATCTAATATAGTAGTATTTTCAATGTCTGGCTTCAATGCAACAGTCAACTACAGAGTCACACTTTTCTCTCTCACTTTATTAAGTTACTGTGTCATTCTGGTCTTAAATTGTGACTCTCATTTTAACCATTATCCTGGATGAAGACTTTATCTAACCTGTGTATTAATGAACTTTATGGGACTGCAGGTTTTTACCCAAAATTTACTTTTGATCTTCTGTGTGATGTTCATATAATATCATATGTTGGATGTCTTTTACAAATCTTTATTTACTCTTATTTATTGACTGACTACTCTGTTTTAGCTCTCATAGCTTTGTGGTAACTTTTGCTTTGTGACATGGCACTCAATCATGTTGAAAAACACAGATCTTCACCAAATTGCCCCTGGATAACTAGCCAAAGTTGATCTTAACCTGTGTATTAATGAACTTTATGGGACTGCAGGTTTTTACCCTAAAATTGCTTTTGATCTTCTGTCTGATGTTCATGTAACATCAGACAGTATATTGGATGCCTTTTATAAATCCAAGTTATTTACTCCTATGCAATGGTTCACTACTCTGTTTTAACTCTGATGTCTTATGACAGATATGTGGCCATATGTCGACCACTGGAGTATCATTTTGTAATGTCACCGAGAAGGACTGCTGTTTTAGTTGCTTTGTCCTGGCTTGTACCGTTGTGCTCTAAACTTATGGTTGTAATTTTGACATCTACACTGAAATTATGTGGCTCACACATAGAAAAAATCTACTGTGAGAACTGGGCAGTTGTTAAACTTGCTTGTAGTTCAACAAAAGCTATTGACATTTATGGATTGATTGTTATGACCTTCTATATAGGGCACTTCCTCTTCATTGTAGGTTAATATGTGCAGTTGATAAAATTAGCTTTAAGATCCAGAGAGGGCAGGAGAAATTTTACACCGACATGTTTTTACAATTTAAGTGCTTGAACTCCTCATAAGCTTCAATGAGTAGCTCTTGCTCAGTTGGTCTGAAGTATGCTGTACACGTTTTCATTCTGTCAGCATCAATGAATGTGTGATTGGCCTTGTGGTCTTTTGAACAAAGCCACAAAACCATGCATTCATCCGAATTACTTACAGCAAGGTAGAATGATATTAATGTGCATGATGGTACGTCAAAGGTTTAAATTATATAACAAGTCCAGAATCACTCTGGATAAACAGATGAGTGTTTGGTTGATGTGATTATCCTGCTGCACCTCCTCTGTCAGGCTGTTGATCTGAAAGACAAAATTATGTACAGCTACATACAGTATAACTGGACGTGAGTTCACTTACATTTCTAAGCTCAATTACCTAAAATATCTTTTACTTTTTACTATTTTTAATATTTTAAGTTCCAACTCAAAGTCAAAAAGATCAGATTATACAACTGTGTTAGTGAATATTATGGACATGCATGATTAGGGGGTAGCTGTGGTTGACAAATGAATTTTTGTTCAACTTCACAAATGATTCCACTTATAATTGCAGGTGATGTAATGGATGCCAGCTTGCCTTACTAACAAAATAAATAATGTAGATTAATACAATAAATCTCAGGAACAGGGTTCTTTTTAGAAAAAGGTGTATAGAAGAAATGCTGAATAAGACAGAAGGTAGTGGAAAAGAGGCTTTAATGGCTGTATATCTGTTTTTGCAGTTTACGTGCTTGAACTCCTCATAACCTTCAATGAGTAGCTCTTGCTCAGTGGGTGTGAAGTATGCTGTACACGTTTTCATTCTGTCAACATCAATGAATGTGTGACTGGCCTTGTGGTCTTTTGAAAAAAACAACCATGCATTCATCCAAATTACTTACAGCTGGTTTCACCTAGCTGCACCTGCTCTGCCTGGCTTAACCACTGTGAAGCATCAAAAGCCAGGATTCACTAACTACACTAGGCCAAGCACTGTTTCTGTTTGAAATAACAGAGTCATACCAGCTGTTGCTAATGAATGTTAACGCCACGTCTTTAACTGATGACAGGACAAAGTGAAACTCACTGTTGTCAGCTGGTGAACAAACAAACAACACCTGAAATGGAAATTATTGGGTTATGTGCTTTTGTTCTTTTTATGCAATATACTTCTGTTTCTCATACTTGAAACTTGTGTCTGTAACTGTTTTGGTAACAAGGTTACATCCTAGTCTTAGGTGAAGGGTAAATGGAAAATAATACTTATACTAACTATGTATTTGTACTTTAGCTCTGTGTTTGCTTTTCTCCCAGACACTCAGCACACATTCAGCTCCTAAATACACCTACACACATACACTTCATACACACACATCCAGTCTCTACTGATACACACACACAGCCTGTTGCCTACACAGTTTAACTGTATGGGCCCAGCTGCTATATACCTATGAAGGTTGCATACCTGAGACACTTTTCTGATTGGTTCCAACTAAGGGGGTGATAGCTGACCAGTGTTATACAAAACCTGACTGTTACTCTTTTTCTCAGTCACTCACTCTGCAGGCTGCAGCACATTCTCTATGACCGACTGAACATTTTTGCAAGAAATAAAATACACAAAGGCAACATGGTTGTTCACTCCTTATTTCTCCAGACTCATTGTAAACGTTCAACCACACACCCCTGGCTGTTGATAACTGAAGATTATTTATGTGGTAAAGAGGCATAAATCTGTAACACCACTCAATATTTAGAGTGAACGCAGCCATTTGCTGTAGCTCCAAAAACAGAGTCAAACATCTTCCCAGATAAAACCATCAGTTGATGTCACATCAGTGATGGAAATGTAGCATATTGTGTGTGTTGGTGTACATGCAAATGGTTGTGAAGATTCATCACCTGTCATCTTTTACATTATACACATCCTGCACTTTTGCTAGTGTTTTGTTTTGTTCTAATGCAAAGGTCAGGGTCAAAGTGTTTATTTGTCATATGTACAGTGAGGAAACGTGTTTCCCTGTACAATCAAATTCTTACTTTGCTGTCCACATGAATGCCACACAGTACAAGTGAAATATAAAGTAGATAAGCAATAACACCAATCTAAATAGGCAGTGACACAAATCTAAGGCACTTTAAAGCAGCAAGTGAAAGAAGCACAATAAAAATACAACAAGAACACAATATAATGTAGAGAGAATATATGCTATGTGGGAGCCGTGAAGTACTGCCAGATGGGGTGTTTTTAGTCCTCCCCCCCACACACACACACACCCCACACCCACCAATATTATCATCCATTGCTATGTTTTGTTTTACTGTAGACTTAGTTCGATCCAGTGTATCTTTATATTCAACATTTCATTTGGTCCAGTAATTTGGTTTTATAACCAGATATCTGCAAAACTACAGCTGGACGTCCTGTTTTTGTTTGAGTTCCCAAACATTTCTGAACTCCATCCATCCATTTTCTTCCGCTTATCCGGGGCCGGGTCGCGGGGGCAGCAGTCTAAGCAAAGATGCCCAGACCTCCCTCTCTCCAGACACTTCCATATGTCAACACACATAATTTTACACATATCCAACAAATGCTAATCCCATATCAATTTGCTTATACCTAGTACATGCTTGAATGGAGTAGGAAGAAGTCAGACTTATCCAGTCCTACCCCATGACATCATCTTACCATCATTGGTTTGCAAGCAGTATCTCTACATAAATAATTCTCTTCTACACCACACAAGTAATATACTAAAAAAATTATAACAGAGTGTTAACATTCTTACATAATTACATTCTTAAATAATTATCTTCTACACCACACAAGTAATATACTAAATAATTATTACAAAGTGTTAACATTCATACACCACACCCACAATGTTCCAATCCTAATCCTAGCCCTTGCTCATCCAGTTTGTTTTCCAGAGACTGTACGTTAGCTAGGAAGAGGCTGGGTAATGGCGGTCGTGTAGCGTGAGCTTTTAGCCTAGCATGGAGTCCTCCTCGCCTGCCCCGTTTGCGTCTCCATCTTTGGGTTGCTCTCCTGATTTCAGCCTGCTCGCTTGTGCTTGGTGCTCCGGGGGCTCCCTGAGGGTGATGGTGGTGGTTGTTGTTGTTGTTGTGGGAGCGGAGAATGAGTTGTAGCTCCGGTGGTATGAAATCAGTAAATTCCCAGTGGCTGTGTGAGTTGGCAATATCCAGCAATGCCTGTCTGTTATATGTTAGCAGTGCATGACATTTTTGCACTGCAGAAAGAGTAAAAAACACACAAAAAAGAAGAAAATGAAGAAAAAGCCGGTATTCGAGTGGAACGCGCAAAACGCGCCTGCCTCGGAGGGTGCCATGATGAACAAGACCTGGCGAGTGATTCCAGCTTTAGTGTAGAACCGATTGCCCATTGAGATTTTCCACATTATCCTGTCCTCTCTTGCATTTGTCTTTCATGGGCGACAAGCCTTCTTGGGGGGCTTGAATGAGTTTGTGACATTGTAAAGATTAAATATTCTACAAATCATAGATTTGGAACGACCAACTTCCCTTGCTGTGGCTGATAGGGTCATCCCTTTGGCCTTCACCTGGACAATCTGCTGCCAGGGTTTCAGTCACTCTAGAATGGCTCACCATCTTTCAAAGTCAGTGAAAACTGGAAAGGTAGGCTGCCAGTTAAATGGGTTTCTCAGATAATTAAGGAAATTAGCACCAGGTGCCAGATTATCACCAATAACTGGGAGGTATCTGAAAGTGTTCTCTAATTTTGATTAGTGTTCTTTTTCAAATATCTTATATAGTTTTTTATACTGTGCTTCAGAATATATGTAACTTATGAAATATGGTTAAAATACTGCTTTAACTCCCGTTTGGATAATTTCAAATAGGAATAAGCAGTGCCTTTGACATTTAGAAAATTGTAGGTTGTTCTCCAATTTTGATCTCCAGTGTATATTAAGCATCTTAGAAAAAGTAGGGGACATTAGTCAGAGAATATGAAGGAATATGCTTTGTTTTAAACTGCCTTGATCTTTAGTAAGCTTTGTTTTGTGTTTTTTTTTTTTTGCTTTTGTCATTTGCACTTTTGTATTTTTGCACAATGTTACAATGATAAAATAAGAAACAACAACAACAATAGAGTAAAAGCAATGCATGTACAGACCCAATAAGCAGAGATGTTCATAGCTTTGAAAGGTGGGAAAAATTCAGATCCATCTAGTTAAAGTTTGACAGTCCACTGGGCTGCTTTATCTGACTATTCACACACAGACGTATGTGGACCGTTTAATTTCCATATGACCCTAATCTTGACTAATTTTGATACATTTGATAGACTTTTATCAAATTAACCTAAACCTCAGCAGTGTCAGTACTTGTACCTGCAGGGCGTTGATCTTGAGTGACTGCTCAAAGCAGTCGATGCACTGCTGGAACTCCTTGTTGCGGAGGTGCAGCAGGGCTTTGGAACGCATGGCTCTGGCACTACGTCTGCCCGACAGCTCCCACGCCCGGTTGTAGTACTGATGGTCCCTTAGGATGTCTCCCAGTAGGCAGTACAGACTGGGTGTCTCCTTCTTCTCCAGCTCCCTGTGAACAATCTCCTCAGCCTAAGAAAAAATAGAGGGAAGCTCAGAGTGGTGGAGGAAATGGACAGAACATGAATAACACAGACAATACCGGACAGAATAATGGGAAGAAAATGACAAAAACATGACAAAAGGGATTTGGGAAAATTGTGGAATGTTTGACAGGAAAACACTGAAAAATCAAGAGATTATGTTGCAAGTAGAGTCACTGTTATATGACCTGCAGACACTTGCACTCATTGCACCTGACCATGCCACTACAGGCTCTGGATTGCTCCTGGATGAACTGAGGCTCACACCATTGTGAGGACAGAATAATGAACAGGTTGTTTAACCTTTCCACATTCCTTTATCTTGATTT